TTTTATATTTTTTGGCTAGGGTGTTAGATCATTCAAAATATTTTGATTTCAATAACCAGGTACATTCCCCTCAATAAAACTAAATAAACTGCTAGGAATCACAAACATTTTGATTTCTTCTATTTCTTCATAATATAAAATTGGAAATGCCAATTTTTTAAACCAGAAAAAAACTTATCCTCGCGGTATCTGGTGGACAAAGGGATCGTTACTCCTATCAGTGCCAATTTTCCACAGAGAGGGCGTTTGAGTTATCAACATTTAACGATCCCAGCTTTCTAAGAATTGTTTTTATGTCTAACCTGAAGTTGGAATTTGAAGTACTCTTCCAATTATTACTGTTTGTTCGACTTTACTGAAGTCAATTGTATTATTACATCAACTAGGACTGTAGACGGGTTTTTCAGAATGTTTACAACATAACCCTGAATGACGCCAGCGTTTGGAGGAAGTTATTTAAATTTTGTAAGTTTTTCCAAATCTGAACATATTGAAAGGAAAGGGGTTTAGAGAAATTCCTCTCAGTGTTTAAGATATCTATTTGAGCACCAGATCAATTATTTAACTGCATATGCCTGTTTCCTATATGATATGAACAAATCTGTATCAGGAGCGTCATTTTTTTCCACTGGTCAATATTATATGAATATTAGGAAACCAAACATTTCATTTAACACTTTGATGGCCGTCTTCATGTGAACGTCATTGGTATTGTTTGAGGCGTTTCATTGTTAGCAACACTGAGCATCTATCGCTCTATGCTGTAGACAACAATGTTGCCAATGAATCACAGTTTATTACAATAACAGGTTATGGTTTTCGGAGCAGAGTTATGAAACACTACTCCAAAAATTTTAAATATTATCTGGATAAATGGCCTGGCAAAAAGTATTTTGGCATGTATAGATTCATGCCAATATTTTTCGTTTTAGGAGCGGCATTAGAATTTTCTATGATCAATTGGAGAGTAGGAGAAACAAATTTTTGTAAGTACATCTTCCAAACCAGAAGGTAATATTGCAAACGCCTTCACTAAATATTTCAAATCTCAATACACGAGCAGTACTTTGTCAACTAACTCACATTAAAGAATTTTCAGACATCTCATTAGCCCCATTACAAACTATTTCCAATACATCTTTGTACAATAAAATGTTTTCCAACAGATTTAAAGACCTATTGTAGTTAAGTTCTAAAATAAAAGGAATTAGTTTTAGTCATCTCCTGATTATGTTAACTTGATGAGAGAAACGTGTGTCGAGAGACTTTGGTTTAGTTCTGGTTTGGAAAAAATGTTTTTCATTGAATTCATTTCACATTCGAGGTTCTAATTATAACTATTAAGTTAATCTTTGTCTTTCAGACGATACATTCAAAAGGAGACAAGCCAAAAATTACGTGGAGGAACAGATATTGAGAGTGCCTAATCAAAAAGAACAAAATGCCAGCTAATATCAGCTGGGGAAGATATTTGACCTATGTTGGTGCAGCACTGTTAACGATGATGGCTGGTTCTCAAACGGTGCACATATTCTATAAACCTTTATCTGATTTGGACGAATATATAAAAAAGGAAAAAGAAAAAGTGCTGAAGTGATTCGGACAAATTTATGTGCCAGGATTCACAAAAATGATTGAATATAGTTGTTTATTTATATTTTGCTGATTATTCTGTTGAAATAATGTAGTGCTGTTTTATTTATATTTGTTATTGTGGAATTACTTCTCACAATAGAATATTTTGTAACTATTCTACTTGCTGCATTAATGCAAAACTTACCCAGTCAAACACCCTCACACTTGGCTTGAAATCTTTTAATTTTCAATTTTTATTTCTCGTAAACGATTTTTTTTTAAATTTTCATCTCGTGTTAATAGTTCAATTTTTTGATTTTTTG